GGGGGGAAAGCTTAAAGCTTGGGGGTAGGAGACAATTTTAGAGAACAAAAATTTCCGTCGCCATCCGGGTTCAAACCCGGGACCTATTGAATGAGAGGCGAACAGCTTAACCTCTGGCCACGAGAGACCCTTTCACTCGATGTGGGGACTATTATTGAAGCCACTGCTCCCCCCCCTCCCCCCCTGAACAAAACGCCATCCTATATTTTTGGAAACATGAGGTAATATTGTCGGTGACATGATGTCCATCAGCTCAGAAATTAGGACAATTTTACTTGAGAAATGAAAAAATTGTATCATTCTCTGAATAACTGTACTTTCAATTTTTGTTTGATCTCTCTTTCTTTCTCTTTCCTTTTTTTTTGGGGGGGGTGGGGGGATTTTGATTTGTTTGTTTTTTCTTTGTTTTTTTTTGTTGTTGTTGCTCGTTTTGTTTGTTTTGGGTTTTTTGTGTTTTTTGTGGTGTTTTTTAAATACTTTAAGAATTTGACTTTCGACAAAATATTTCTTAAGCACCTTCATCCTGTACAGCATATTACGAAACTGCAATATCAAAAATTGAAAATGTTGGGCTTAGAACGTCTAACCATCTGGCCCATGTTATGTACGTCCTCAACAAACAGGACACCGGTGTCTGTGGTGTAGCGGTTAGCCACTTCACCGTCCTTTGTTTTTGCATAAGCTCATGAGCGCCAAGAGGTGGATGTAAACTGAGAAATCCAAAATGGGAATCAGGCTGACTCTGTTCACCTCTCTAGCTTCAACAGCACAAAGTCTGCTTTGACTATCAAGCCACCCAGGAAATAGCAGTTCACAAGAGAGTGACAAACATACAAAAGAAGTAGAGGGGAAAAATGACGATAGTAAGGATGAGGAAAGAAGAAGCAGCAGTTCTCCCTATGTTGTTCAGGCATAGTATGAGATATTAATGTGTGAAATGGTGCAGAATTTATTTAGCTTTAAATTGGTATGCTGCATGAACGGGTAGTACAAGGCAAGACTATAACAAGATGATTGGGTGATTACATTTTCAAGTTTCTTTTGGACGCCACTATTTGACCTTATTGTGTTGCAAGTGCCTTAAAACTATGACGAAAACTAAAAGGGGGTCCAGCCAAATAAGTATGTCTAAAAAAAAAAGAGTATCCACTCTCTAGAGCTAAAAGGGGGCATTTTAAATGCACGTACAGCCTTGAGCATAATTGTTATCAGCCATCCCATAAAAGTCACAAAACCTTTGTTTAGTTTAGTAAGAGTTTTACTGCGCTCGTAACTACATTCTCTGATTTTAAGAAGAAAGAAAAGCTTATACATTCGGTTCGGACATGACCATGCTTCCAATATTTGCCAACGGGGCTGATTTATGTAAACACGCCCCTGGCACATT